TGTTCGTGGAGTGGTATGATGACTTTAATCCTCTCGCATTAGGCAATCCTGAAACGCGACAGCCTCCGAGTGTCCTGGTGCCCAGTCCGAATCTCCCACAGGAAGGTCTTACTCCGGCTAAGGTAGAGTCTTGTCACAATGCCCATGAAGTGATTTGATCTTAGCTTTTCGTTGGGTGCCTACCGTATAGTAAGACGACGCTCGACTTGGCGCAATTGTTCGGACAGTTTGGTCCGATCCTTGAGGTTGCCTTGCTTACTAATTCTGAGGGGAAGTCCAAGGGTGCTGCTTTTGTTACATTTGCTTACGTAAGTATATTATCTTTATGGTCACGATTATGGTTACGGTGATTAGGCTCCTGATGCTGAGGCTGCGATGTCTATGAATGAGTATTGTTTTCCGGGCTCATCACGATCTATCAACGTATCATATGCTACCAATCAGACATGGGTGCCTGGTGGTATGGGCAATAGCAACAACAACAATGGTCGTAATGCCCTCTCTAGAGGGCAAGGAGGCAACGTCTCAAGGACCGTAAGCAGCTATTGAAGCAAGGCTAGTGTTAGGTCTATTCAGGGTGGCGGCGGGGGCGGTGGGGGCACTCAGTCGTACTTCCCCCTCAAACACGGCATTCCTGGTGCTGCTGGAAGCCCACCCTTGATGTTTACTTCTAATCGTAATCCAACAGTGAGCTCAGTAGCAAGCACAGCGTAAGTACCCCAGCTCTATTATTGTTGCATAGAAAAACATTGTCAGATATGATCAGTCGCCACCATTCGGCCCTTTAGCTTCTGTCGGGGGGATACTGCTGCCTGTTGAATCTCTCCATCAAGGACATCATCATCATCCTGGCAACGGTGCACCTCAACTACATGATATACCGGATCTTAGCCCAACTGGTATACTCGCTGATGATATCACTAACTTTTTGCTTGAGTATGAGGAAAGCCTCTCTAGTGAGCTACCTCCTCTTTGATATGAACAACATCCAATAATGCAATTCGATAGCAACCTCTGATGAGATAGGTATACTAGTATAATAGACTGATCACTCTCATAACGCTGTGTCCTCGATAGAATATTTCTGCTGCTGCTACTAGGCGGACTCGATCCTGAAGCTTCCCATTGTTGGTGGTGGAGAGACTGTGACATTTGTTCTTTGTATTGGGGGTATGACGCTAGTGTTGTAGGGATGGATGCATCATCATTATCGACACTACTCATCTTCGCTGCCG